ACGCGCCGGTCGACCTTTGTCGGGAACCAAATTCTGAAAAAGCAACCCCGGGGTTACCTGGGGCGAAACGTCGGGCGTCGTGCCGAACAACAACAGGCGGCGATGACCCGAAACCCCAACAACATAATCGGAGAGTCGGCGTGGGGAGTTGGTGCAGAGTGGCGGGTCTCTGCCTGCCATTTCTCTCTGCCAATGGAAAATCACAAATGAATTCAGGTTTGGGGTGGGTTTGTAATCGAGTGAGAACTCAAGAGAGCAGGATGATTCCCGTCGGAAGCGAGCGGAACCTGGGAGTTCATCACCGCGGTGAGATGGGAGAGAGCAATTCTCTTTTAATTTGAATAAACTAGATGCTGGGGTTGTTGTTGTTCAATAATTGCAGGGGCTGCCCGCTCCGCCGTGAATTAATTAAAAGTTTCTTCCGGAAATTTATCGTCGGTAAAAATCGACAAAGCCACCCCCCCCCATGCCAGGCTCGTTGATCACCCAGATGTCGGCGGAATGATTCGCAAAATAACTCTCTTTCACAATTGACGCGATGAGAAATGGCACGTCGTTCATCGTTATTAAGGCAAGCCTGGCTGCTTAATGCAGCCTTATAAATTAAGCGTTTAATATTGACATATATACATCACTTAGGCTGTTCAGCAGCAGCGGCGGCGGCAGCAGTGACAAGCCCAGCTCAAGGAGAGTGATGTTAAAAATAAAGGCAGAACGTGTAAACTTAATTTAGATGAATAATGTTAACACTGACTTGAACGCAAAACATTGATCTGAAACCGCGCTTAAGATGCAACACTTTTATATATTGCGTTAATAAATTACGGGGGGAATTATAATCGCGCAATTTAAAAGGCAGGAGATGGACGATCTATTCATGAAGGAGGCTCATTAACAATCGCCGATCTCTCGAGTTGTTTTGGAAAATGGTGTGAATAATTGAGTGTTTGACGAGCCGCTCCTCGCCTACTTAAATTCCCCATTGAGCAAAATTAAAGGCAGACATAGGGATTAAAATCCGCAATAAAAACACGCGACTGCTCGGAAACTCTTCGACGATTCGCAATTGACGGCTGCCCCACCCCCCCCGCCGTTTCCTTGCCCACGTGATACCACAATAGAGAAATGGTATCCAACATAGCAATTGTCTAATTTAACTCCAAGCAGCTCGCGAGTTACTGCCGGCAGTAACTCGCGAGCTGCCGGCAGTAACGCGAGTTTCCGGCAGTAACGCGAGTTGCTGCCGGCAGTAACGCGAGTTGCTGCCGGAAACTCGCGTTACTTCGGGCAGTAACGCGAGTTGCCCGCAGTAACGCGCGTTACTGCAGGAAACTCGCGTTACTTCGGGCAGTAACGCGAGTTGCCCGCAGTAACGCGCATTCAACGGGCAACGGTCTCGCCGAGGCATCGCGCCGTGCGTGGAATTGGTGGGGGCGGTGGGTTTGGGGCTGTACGGCAATAGCCAACTAGACCCTAACTACATACCTTGCTCTAGCTACCCGCGCCTATCAGATCCTTGCCACGGCAATGACCACAACCGCGGTTTTCAACTGCACAGTAACCCGAGCACTAATCTTTAACTTTGCTAGCCAAGCGAACCGCAACCCTAACCATGCTATCACCATACCCTGGCGCTAACCTTAACCACGCTCCACAGTGAGGCAAACAGTTCCTAGCTTGACCATAATCTTGATCAGCTCAGCATACCAGACCCTCACCCTAACCCCGGCCAGGATGCTAACTCCCCACTAGTCATCCAGATCCTGGCCATAGCACCGTCCCTATCTCTAACCCTAACCCCTACTTGTGCACAACCCAGCCTTCGTTTGCTTCTCCCTGTTCCCTGGCCAGGTGTAAAGATGGAATTTGTTCAACTTTCGGGGGTTCACAGTAAAACTCGTGACGCACCTGCACGCACCTTGAATTGAGCACCGCATCACAGGGGCGCACTCACGTTTCCTCCGCCGTACGTCCGTCGACGCCGAACAACTCCAGAGGGAAGAAAAACAAATCGCCTTCTCGACCCGTTCGAAGGCCTTTCTGTTCATTAAATAATAACAATAACCACAAGAATAGCAATAACCGTCTAGCGCTGGCTGAACAAATCTTTGCACCGATAACACTTGGCGGTTCGTGAGTCTCTGCGCATCGTAAACACTTACAAGGTTCCCACTTCGCGCCGATCTTTGGGCTCCGCGGGGTCGGCGCTTGACCGGCGCTCGTGGCCCCGCGTGGTGTGGAGGAGGGAGTGGGGGCGTGGGGGACCTTTGGCCTCCGAACCTCGGCGCGGTTTAACGAAGTGGCCGGGCCGGGCGGGCGCCGTGGCCGGCTCCGGCGTACCGCGGCGCAGAGTCCGGTGGTCTGGAAGCGGCCAGAGTGGAAACGTCGGTCACCTTTGCGTCTCTGTCATAGGTAACGAGGCCTGCACATCCCCTCGGTCAACTCGGCCTAAACATGAGTCCATGATAACTTTGGTGGGGGGGGGGGGGGGGGGGTCACCAGATGTGGAACGATTCACTCGCGAGGGTCACGATTTGATTCAAGAATCGATTAAAATAATTTCCTCTTGGTTTAGCTTCTTGGTGTTTAAAAAAAGAAAAAAACCGTTATTTTGTCTTATTTAAAGAAGTGTGTTCAGAATCAGAATGAGAAAATGTATTTATCCCTGGAGAAATCCGACGAGCCATGAAGCTCTTCATCAACGGATGTCCAGGTGTTTCGCAGACGTCCCGTAATTGATTCTTATTCCCCTCCTCTGCGGCCTCCTCTTCCGCGGCCGGCATCCCGTCGTATCCCCGCCGAACGCATTTCAGTGTAAGGGGGTGAAGGAGTAGCCCTGCAATTGCTTACTCACGCTACCGCTGGCGGAAGGGGCCTCCACCTGGATGACCAAGAGGAGGCTAAGACGCCCTTCAGGATTGTATCTCCCGAGGCCCTTGCGTCTAGTGTAGGCCCTGCTACCAGCAGTGCCACGAGGCATGGAATTTCCACGCTGCGCCTGTACCTTGTAATATTAATCATGAAACTAATCAACGTCGCTGTGCCAGGCTAATAAAACATTACGGCAGTGCTGCGTACAATTTACAAATATTAATTGGGGGGGGGGGGGCAGGGAGGGGAATACAATTGGTGGCAGGAACGATTTTAAATGCACGATGTTCTAACCGGCTAGCTAAGTTTCATGTGCCTCTAGTGCAGCGCAATGTGAGACCGGGGCTGCTTAATGTGGTCAGGCAGCCGTTTAAATCATTTGTACCCTTAACATTTTATAAATCACAAAAGCTCAGGGCATTACATTTCTGGAAAATGAAACGTACACTAAAATTAAACTCTTTCACGAAATTACACATTCTGTTCGTCTACATCATGGTTTTGGCTCCTTCGCAATTATGCAGAATGAACACGAACAGCGGCTGATTATTCCTTGATAATTTTCCCGATCTTTTACAGTGATTGCACGCTCCTCTTAACGAGCCAAAGATTCCATTCGGATTTCTCGCACAGCGGCGCCGACTTTTGTGTCCGAGGTCATCCCGTGGAAGTGGATGTCACGGAGCGACATCTGAGATCCATTCATTCGAGTGACCTCTGGTTCACACAGTAGAGGGCAGCACTTTTCCCCACCTGCTCTGCCATCACGTAACAGTCAAAGCAGTATTTGCGATTGCCAGAGCTGAAATGTAGAAAATTTCAATGGCCACCAATATTTACCACGGCGGCTTTTCGTCGCTTGCTCACTGGTAACCTGGATAAGACCATCCACTCACTCGTCCCAGGCGGCCAGCTAGATTCAAACACAAGGATCTCTGCTCAACGAACCCGCTATCTCAATGATGAGTGACAATCGGAAGAAAAAACACACACGCGAAATCGCCCCCATCCCAGGAGAGAAGAGGAGGGAGTCTCTCTATACACACAACAGCCGCCACCGCACGCCGGCAGGGAGTTGGGGGCACACGCTCGCACTGCACCCCGTTTGCCCCGGGGAGAGCTCTTTCTCACCCAACGGTAGAAATTAGCGCCAATGCAGCAGATTTAACATTTAAACAAAACGTGCGCACGCTTTGCCGGCCTCTGAGAAAAAAAAAGACGATAACAACTGCGGCGTTGCTTTTCGCGGCCGAGGGCACGTACGGCCAAGTTCCCGAAATGCTCGCTGATGGAAATGTTTTTTTTATTTTTCAAAAGAGTCGCACTTCATTATTTCAGCGTCCCATTTTTTGTTTTTTCTTGCAGCGGTGCCCCATTCCAAAAAATAGTCTACTGAAAGAAGTCTTTTATAGAGCGGCCGATGTTTTGTAATATATTTCGCTCTCAAGAGTAATTACGTCTGGGCCGGGGCGTTGATGGATGTGACGGTGACGTTATCGCTGACAGGGTGAACGAGCGCCGAGGGAGTTTCATTTTATGCCACTAAGATTACCACGGCGCCGAACCCTTATCACGAGGCATGCGATGAAATTCCAGGCAAATTCGAACATTTTCGCCCTGCTCTAGCCACCCACGTTTGCATCTTTCCAAACGAAAATAAAACCGAAACTGCGTACATTCCCTTTATTGCTCTGTGAAGTCCATCACAATAAAAACGTCTACAACCCTCTTTACACTTATCTGGAGCCGAGGAAAATGTAATGAGAAAGCAAGCCCGCTTCATGAGTCACATGATCAGGGCTTCCTTTCTCGTGGGCGCCACGGTGGCTAGGATATGTTAACTACATCGCCTGGTATACAGGAGGTCGTGGGTTCAATCCCGACCCTGACGATGCCTGCTGCTGTATATGCGTGGAGTTTGCGTGTCTCTCTCCCCGTGATCACGTGGATTTCCCTTCGAGTCCTTCGGTTTTTCCCTTCACATTCAGAATCAACATCACAACGCGTTTGGAGTATTTGGGCTGCTATACACTTCCACACGATAAGCCACTTCGTTGAGCTATCATTTGTGGCCAGGTCGCTTCTGAAAAAGAGTTACATAGCTCAGTGGGCCTTACCTGGTAAAATAAAAAAAAACTGTTTAGTTTAAAGGATATATTTTCTGGAGCTCAGCTCCAGACAGATCCTCCTCCAGCTGAAATGAAGCCCTGGACTCGCTGCTGTTTGCAGACCGAACTGTGCAATGCATAACCATCACCGCAGCACATCGTGAACATAAAACAAAATATTGTAGGCCATCATCACCGAGTTTAAACAATCATTTAAGAGGAGAGAGAACACTATGATTGTTTAACAGCAAAAAAAAACCCCATCCCCACAATGTAAAAAAATAAATCATACAAAAATAAAAAAAGAAATGGCTAATTTGTTATAAAAATATAACACAGTCCCATCATCTTGTTTTTGTCATGGCCTCACTCCTATTGAAACATCCATTCTCTTTGCCGTTTGGTTCCACTCTACGTTCGCGAACACCAACGACGGAAACAAAAAAATATCCGCTACCTCCACCCCCCAATCTCCGGAAGGTCTCTGAATGTTAAAACGCCTCCCACGAAGCTTTCGTCCCAGATAGCTGTCCGACTTGCCAGCGGGGACGTTTTCGCAGAGGCATTGCAGAGCCTGCACCTTGCCCCTGGCCACTGGCGCCGGTGCCCACCAGCGCGGGCATCGGCGATCGATCCCCACCACCACCACCACGACACCGACCGGTGGCGGAATCCGTAAATCGTTGAAATCGTCGCGATTGAAAACTCACTTCTTGAGAGCCGCTTCGTGCTGTTGCGTTTCGTTTGTCGTCCTATCTCCCGCGCCTCCGATTAGCGCGGTTGGCTACGTACGGTTGCGAAAGGAGTTCAACGTACATATGTAACACTATTGGTAACACGGTGTAAACCTTCCACCGACACTAGCTGCTCGATAGCACGCCCGCGAAAAATAGAAAAGGTTATGCCAACCGCTGCCCGTTGTGCGACGTCTCCGTTTGGACTCTGAAATGTGCCGTGGTGGCCGATTTCGGATGGAACATTTTTTATTGTGATGCTGCGCTGGCAGTGGCGTGCGAGCACAAATAACAAAACCTACCTGTCCATTAACCCAGAGTCTGAAAGTAAAATATAAATACGGTGAAGCGTCGGGCAATGGCCCCGCTCTATCGCAGAGAGGGCAGCGTGGTTGACAGATGCACTCGAGCTTCTTGGTTATTTCTGGCGGACTTGCAATGCGGCAGTCACTTAGCACCATCAAATTTTTAGCATCTACTTCAGCCGTGGTCTATCCACTGCTGGATGAAAACACCGGCTAATCTCATTCCTGCGCATTAACGAATCTCATCGCTCCGTCTCCGCAGCGGGACGCTCTGGGTGGATTTCTTTTGCCCAACGACCGGATTAGCAGCGTGTAAAATTGTCACGTTGCAATGAGCGGGTGAGAAAATTAGACGCATATGTTTTTCTGGTGGCCAGTTTAAAACGGGCCTGCAGTTCAGCTGATACAGAATCACACAGTTCTGTCCAGAGTGGCGGGGTAATTAAAGGGAGCGTCAGTCACCATGAGGGCCGTGACAACGGATGGGCTAGTGCAAAGTGAGCGTGATGCATGGCGGGTGCGTGCCGGGCGCGCTGTGGTCTGTGAACGGTCGTACCGCCGCCTCGTTTATATTCCGTATGCTAGGTCAACCGCAATCGCACGGTGAGGAGGAGAGAAAAAAATAACTTGCCAGCCAAAAAAACATTCCGTGGGCTGCGCTGCTTTAGAAGGCCTCTCAAAGGCTGCTTCTGGAGTCTTGCACGAGGGCCCACGGGCCAAAGAGCAAAGGCCATGAGCAATTTAGGAATTCCAACTGCACCCCTCACCTCCTCTCTCTCTCTCTTGCTCCACCTCCTCCGCTCCTCGTGCAGCTGCAGACCGGTCTTGAGACATCGCTTATAAGGCTGCGTCCAGGCGAGGTGAAGGGGATGCAGATTTATATCAAAAGGCCAGTTTTGGCTTCCAGCCGTCGTGTTCAAACCAAACTGTCCGCTCCGTAAACGGAGACCACGGCGAGCTGGAATGCCGCGCGGCCCACGGAGAGAGAGAGAGCCGGGAATGCCTCCAGCAGCTGTCCCAACAACTTGTGCAATCACGGCGGACGGCGATAAACACCTCGCGGCTTCTAGCACCGGGGTCCGAACGCCAGGCCGCTTGAGATAGCGGCGGCAGTGGCGGTGGCTAAAAGATCCCCCCCCGCCCCACCTCCCCTGATTCAGAGGTGTAACGCGTTCGGTCCTGACCCGTGAAAAAGCGTCAGTAAGAAAAATGAAATAACACTCGACTAATTACTCACGCAGACAAAAAACTAAATCACTTTTTAACGCGCGGGAGGGAGGGGGTAAAAAAAGGGGGGCGGAACCGACAAGTCAAAACGTTTCACACAGTGCAAAATACTCCCCCTGTCAGAATTTTCACTTAACACTTTTGGAAAGAAAACAAAAATTGAAAGAGTCCTCTAAGCCGCGCGGCCCATGGGCAATTACCGCGCTCGGGTCAGGGCCGGGGATGGCGGCGTTGATTGCGCCCCGCTTGGTAAACGAGTGCCCCCCAGCAGATGGCGCCGTCAATTACCGCGCTGAATCGCACCGAGCTGCTAAATAGTCGGTGTCATGAGACGCCGTTTGCTTTGCTTTTTTGTTATCTTTGCACGGAACAAATAAATAATGTTGCGCCGGCACCCCCCTTCATCCCCCCCCCCCCCCGACTTCATCCCCCTTCTCGCGGCTCCGGGCCCGCATCCCGTTCACTGCGTCCTCAGGTAGCTGGGCACGGAGTAGTTGAAGAGGAGGAAGTCGAGGCGGTAGAGCTCGTAGAGCCGCACCTGGTCCTCGGCCGTGATGTTCTCGAAGAACTTGGCCGTCATCTCGTTGGTCGTCCTCGTCTGCTTGGGGAACGCCGGGAACCCGACGAGGCGGTCGGCGCCGGCGCTGCGCAGCACGAACGCCGCGTCCCTCTCGAGCGTCTCGTAGCGCCCGATGACGTCGTAGCGCACGCGGCACGGGCTGCACAGCGAGCTGGCCAGCTCCCAGTGCTCGTTGAACGGCTCGGTGCGCGGGTCGAGCAGGTAGCGTACGAACTCGCCGAAGCTCACGTCGTCGCCGCCCTCCAGCGCCTCGGCCGTGGCGTTGGCGCGGTACCGGCGCACGATGCGCGTGCCGTAGCGCCGGTGGAAGGCCGTGTTGTAGGCCTGCGTGAACTTGTTGCGGTAGGCGCTCACGAGGCGCTCGAAGGGCTCGCGCGAGAACATGAACTTGACGTAGGAGGCGAGGCGCCGGCGCGCCTCCCGCGGCGGGAACTCGGCGAGCGAGCGCAGCGTGCCCTGCACGTGCGCCCGCGCCGCGGGGATTCCCAGCGGGTCGCGCGTGCCGCCGCTCTGCCCCGTCAGCACGAGCAGCACGCGCTTCCAGTTGGTGCACGCCACCTTGGGCACGTAGCAGTAGAGCAGCCGGTGCTCGTCGTCCACGAGGAGGTGGCGCAGGCTCTCGGGGCTCAGCGGCGGCGTCTCCGCCGCGTCGGGGTCGTTGGGGTCGTCTGCGTCGTACGCGGCGACGCCGGTGGAGGAGGCGGAGGAGGAGCCGTCGGTGGCCTCGCAGGCGCGCTGGAGAGCCACGCGCCGTCGCTCGTGGATCGCGAGCATGCTCTCGAACTCCTCCTGAAACACGACGGCAGCGACAGCATGAGCAACCGCACCGCGAGCAACCACGCCGCGGTTAAACCACACCGCAGACAACCACACCGTGATCAACCACACCATGACTAACCACACCTTGTTCAAACACACCGCGCCCAACCACACCGCGCCCAACCACACTGTGGCTAACCACACCGTGGCCAACCACACCGTGACCAACGATAGCAACAGCAGCGGTGGCGGCAGCAAACGAGCGCAGTATGACCCGGAGAGAAAAATCCACGCGACCAAGGGGAGGGAGACACGCAAACTCCAAATATACAGCAGGCGTCAGGGTCAGGATCGAACCCACGGCTTCCTGCATATCAGGCGAGAGAGTTAGCATCTCGCCACAGAAACACATTCATTCTGTTGCGATCTATCGCAATCGCACTCGAATATGGCGCTCCCTTACGGCACGCGGGGTACGTTTAGCAAACATCGGGCTCGTACAGCGCGCAAATCACTTCATTTGCATCGGGAGCGGGGACGATTGGCGGACGTGGGAATGTGTGTCTCCGTGGGAGGTGAGGGCCGCCACGGGGGACTCCGTGGCACGCTCGCTGTGCAAAGTCGATGTGTGCGAGCACCGGCTTAGAACGAGCAGGAGCCAATAATGAGCTTTAATCGGCAGGATTTTTTTCGAGGAGGTTGTGTTGCGTGGGGTTTTGATAATATATATTTTATCTTTAAAGGGCAAACCTTAATTAAACAAGCGGTTATGCCAGAGTCCTGACTTTTGGCTCCCGGTTCCAACGCGTGCTGTGATTGCCCAGTGCCACGGGCGTGCTCTCTTCGTTTGATCGAAATTGCTCCCCAGTCGTTTGCCATACGGGGTCCCATCTCCCGGTCTGCAAAACGCATTACATCTTAATTAGGCCACTTTTTTTCTTCTTTTACATCTTCGTCTTCTTTGCCTACCCTCGATTAACCTCGTCTTGCCGGTCCCGTCTGCGAGGCCGGCTAACGGCTGCCCCGAGACTTCTGAAGCAATGATCACATTGAAAACATTTTCTTCAGAGCTTATTTTTTTTGTGTTTAGTTCGCTGCCCTCCCACCGCATCTCCGATTAGCGCAGTTGGCTACGGACGGTGTGCGAAGGAAGTTCCGCGTACACCCGTACGCACGTACATATCGAGCGTGCGGGCGGCTGGATGCAATGCCCACTGGGAGCCGTGGTTTCCGGAGGGACTCAGACGCCGGCGCTGGGAAGAGGAGGGCAAAAAATGGGACGGGGGTAGCTGGTCCCATTTCCATCCCCACGGCCGCGGGCCCTTGCCAACGACGTCACGCTACCGGTCTCCCGCGCAGAGCTCCGAGCGCGCTTGCCGCTTCGAGACCACATCGCTGGCATCCGACATTCAAGTTGACGTTTGTTGATCTAAGCTTGGCCGCTGCGGGGTTATCGTCAGCGCAAGACACCTGGACGATTCCGTCCCACTTAAGACTCATGGGAAGGGACGGCGGAGCAGCTTCGCATCGATTCCCATGGCAAAAAAAAATGTTTTTTTACATTATTCTCCCCTCCGAGGAGATGACAAAGCCTCGTGGCGCGTGACCCCGCCGCGCTGAAGCGAAATGAGAAGCGAGTCACGTGACCCGTGTGGCCACGGGATCATCCGCCCGGGCGGAGTTTCCCGCCCGTGCCTTTGTCAATGAGTCGCGTGGCCACTGACGGATATCATCTGGGAGCAAGCGATCCTCAGAAGCCCAATTTCAAGCCGGTCTCTCCATGCAGAAACGATTATTTCGTGGACGAATAAAATAAATAAAAGAAAATCCCAGCAGGGACCATTGTCCTGACAGGCCGAACCCACCGCAGCGCCTATACCATCATTCTCGTGCCGAGAGAAAGTGGGCAGGCTTGGGAAAGTGCTCGGTTGTGTGGGAGTGGCAAGGGTGGCACACGGTTTGCACGACATTGGTTTAGAGGGTTACAGGTATAAGATGGCTTGGGATGGCACAGGGAGGCACGGGATACCGTGGGATGGCACGGGATGGCATAGGATCAGGTGAAATGGAGTGGCATAAGATGGCAAGAGGGTGGCGTAGGTTAACACAGGACAGAACGGACATTCAGGTCATCGCCGGCGTGAGCCTCGCGCACGTAGCTAGGGCATTGGAGCGAGTGTACGGCAGCAGCAGTCTTGCACAATCCAGCGCGGCCGACGGTATCAGCCCCAGGCGCAGACGCGCGCACGGAGCCCTCAGAAATAAACGACACTCTCTGAAATCGGTGTAAATTGCCATGATTGCGCCAAAAGCCCTCGAGCAAAAACGCACTGGCCGGCAGCCACCCTGCGACGTCGTCGTGGAAGCACTCTCCCTGTGATTTAGGAAGTGGTCTCATTGTCGCCGGGGAGCTCAGAGGGCGTTTGCCGAGCTTCAGTGTCGGAGAACCGGGGGTTTCGTGTCCATGGCTCGGCTGTTCGGAGCCCGGCAAAGTCGGCAAGGAGTGGATATAAACCCCTCTCCAAATCACCTCTTGGTACATTGCACGCATGTGTAGGAGGTGAAGTATGGTCAAACTACCCCCACGACCGACACGGTGTGGGGTAGGCCTTCATCCAGGAGTGTATTGAAACGGTGCTGTAAATTATCATTAACTAATCTGCGGACACCAACACACTTTACCCGCACTGGCACTTCGGCCAGAAGGATGGTAACGCATCCGAGAGGGGTGTGGCCGCCGCGGAGATGGAGCGGCAAAATCAGTTCCACGTCCAAGAGCGAGCGCTGGACCGGCAGCGCTGGCCATGGCATGTCTGGAGGCCCTCATCCAGCAGTGGGTAGACAATGGCTGATGATGAAGACGACGAAGACGACGATGATGATGATGATGATGACGATGCAGCGATTCGCATCCACTGAACGTTTACTGGGATTGGCGAGATGTTTTTTACAAACGTGTTTCTTTTTTTACTCGTTCAGAAGTTTAATGTTTGCCGGTTTAACCCAGGCGAGTGCGCGAGCAGCAACGGTGAAAATGGAAGTCGATTTGTCTCCATACTTCACCCCCATCCATTACGTGAGCGCTCCCCCCCCCCCCACCACCACCCCGGTTTTTTCCATCGCCGTATATATTAATGTATATATTTATATATCATCACTCCGCGAGCAGAAATACACGACAAAATATCAAGAGGGGGATTTCCGCCGCGATATATAAACAGATGCCATTGAGACGGCGATGAAACTGACAGAGCGACGCCATAAACATCCGCATCACGCCGCGAGATTACAAACCGGCGCGCGTCCTTCACGTTTCACTTGCAATTAAAGTGACGGCTGGAAGGTGGGGGGGGGGGGGTGGTGGTGGTGGAGGTAGGGAGGCTCCGGCGCGTTTTGGCCGAAAATTTCGTTGGCAAATGGTCAGACGGAGAGCGACGTTGGGGCGGAGCGGGGGGGTTCGTGCGTAGCCGCGAAACCTCGGGCGTGGCTCGACGCTCGTGCGCCCGTTGGCACGCTTCGTCAACGGGTGATTCCAACCACGATTGTGGGGGCAGCGGGGGGGGGGGGACGGACTCGCCCGAATACCGGTACACGGTTGTGTGCCGTACACAATTTACACGGCCATAACCGTGTTGGTCTAACGAACGAGGCCGTGCGGCGTCATACACCGCAGCATGGCGACGTCACGTGGCACCATCCTTTGGTCACAATCGCATCCCCTGCTGTCTCGAGATCACGGTCCGTGTGGAACTCTGGGGGGCAGACGGCGGGGGGGGAGTCGACCTTCAACGCCGCTCTGCGCGCGAATCAACGGCCGACGTCCCAGCCAGCGTCTGCTGCCGACATCCGAGCCGCACTCCCGGTGTCTGAAGCCAACGCGGAGCGGCCGGGTTGATGGATGATGCAGCACGCGACGGCTCCCTGTAGCCACTCGCTCCCCCTCACCGCTCGCTCGTCCTCCGCACCTCCGATTAGCGTGGTTGGCTACGTATGGTGTGAAGGAAGTTCAGCATACATACATTACATGCATAGCCTCGCTCAATTCAAGCAAATGCAAGTAACTTTCTCGTGAAAGTAGTTTTTTTTTTAAGTCTTCAACCGCGATGCGTTTTGCGTGTCACCAATCGCTTGGCCTCTTCGGGCCTTTGGGGCCTGTGCCGTGATGTCTTTAAAATGAAAAAAAAATAATAATCAAGACTTGCCATTTCTTTCACCCCTCGCTACATACGTTCGTCGCCGAGCATTGAGCGTGCGTGCGTGCGCTCTCTCGGATAGAGGCAGTGGACTCTGGGGTAGATGAAGATTGTTCAGCTTTTGAGTTATGGCGGAAATATATTTTTCCGACCTCTCACGGAGTTATTCAGCAGGCGGGGGGGGAGAGAAGAGAGCCCCGTACGGAGCTTATCGGCCATAAAAGTCAAAAACCCTTGTCGCTTAAAATTCAGCCTGAATTGTCGCCCGCCCGTATTAGCTTCCTGCTCATAAGCGCCGAGCCATTACGCGAGGGTTTCGTTGTAATAAAACATAATGCAGGAGGGCTTTTAGTCGTAAGGAATTGCTGTCGCCCACCCGGCCGCCCGGCGGCGTACCGAATACATTACGGCGCATTGCGTGCACGTTGAATATGCGTGTGTGTGTGTGTGTATGTGTGTGTGTGTGTTTACAAGGAGGTGTGAATGAACGCGTGTGCTCAATATGTATGGATATCAGGCGTCGGAAGATTTGATTATTTCGGCCGACGGCGGTCATTCGGTTCAGCGAAGGCGTTAATGTTTGTGCTGCGCGTTAACTAGAGATTTAATTCCGTGTGCCCTGCAGGGCGGGGAGGAGGGGGAGGAGGGGGGAAAGTTGGGAGGAGGCTGGAGAGGGGGATAAGCCCCCCACCCCGCACCCACCCCACCCCAACCCACGCCCCCTTGTTAAAGATTCAGCCCCCCACGTCTACGTTTCACAAAAGGTCAAAAAAAGGTGGGAAAATATTGAACACCAATATTGGACGCAAAACAATTTACCGACTCGCCCATATTGGA